GATCCCCAGCATGCTGTGCTGGCCTGGCCCCAGGGCATGCTGAGACAGCAATTGAGACTGGCACAGTGGTACATAATCCAAGCCCTTGGGAGGCTGAAAACAGGAGAACCACTATGAGTCCGATCTACATAGTGAGACCCTGTACTAAATACATTTTTTAAAAACCACATTATTTTGATTTTTTAAAATGTATTTGGATGTTGCAGGGTCTCACTACACAGCTTGGACTCATGGTGATGCCCCTGCTCTCAGCCTCCCCCACGCTAGGATTACAGGCATGCATCACTACAGGTGGACTCTGACAGGCTCAGCCCACCCTGGTGGCGGGGCTGGATGCAGCATGTGGTACCAGTAATTGAACCGAAGTACCTGCGCTTGCCTAAGCTTGTGTAAACAAGTGCTTTAGTCCACTGAGCTGTCACTGACCCCTGATCTTTCTAAAAGAAGGAGCTGGCATTGTATGTCAATTTGAAATGAAGGGAAGAAAAGCTACTAAAAATAATTTTCATGTCTTTTTTATTTGAATCTCCATGGGAGAATAATAGTTTAAATTTTTGTTTGTAGTTTCTCATGGTTTAAGAAATATTTTTTCCTGAAAATCTACCTGCGAATAAACAAGCAGAATCAGCCTCTCTAATACAGCATGAGCTTCTCACATACTTGATGCTTCAAAATACAAAACCAGAAGAGTGGAACTGTTTTAGGCTAATAATGCAAATAGGATTCCTCATTTATGTAGAGTTTGTTCCTTCCACTTTATATTGCTTTCTAATTGCTTTGTTCTTAATAATAGAATTGACTTGCCAAGATATTTTGACGGATATGTATCAAAATAGGAGTGTCCAGCCATTGCCACTTGGTGTAAAAGTCAAGGGTGAGTGAACAGAGGTCATTGTTGAAATAGCTTGCATGTTGCTATCTATGGAGTTGTAGGTGGCTTTGTTGTCACCTCCCTAGAGCATCTAGGAGCTGTCTGACCACCTAGAAATGTGTCACAAAGAAGTGACAAGGAAAATATATATAATAAATTATATGTATGTATATATATGTTAATCAGTAGAAAAAAATCAAACTACTATAATGGATTATAAGACATTTTACTTTTACTTGACATTATAATTATGAA